ATTTCTCTCAAATGGCACCCAGCTTCTCTTCGAACACGGAGCCGGGCCTGAAAATCGCAGTGACAAGGGATTTTGCCCATTAATTGAAGTCACTGCAATCATAGAAATCGCTTAAAGTAGCTGAGCTCATGAAGCACTGCTCCAATTTTATAAATGCCATGGATAACTTTGCGATAGTAAGTAGCACATACGATAACGCCAATGGATAATGTATCATGTTCGATCGTGAATTCTCCAGTCAGTCGGAAAAAACTCAAAGGATCCACCTGCTTCCCTTATCTACGATGCTCGTACAGTTGTAGCCGGATATTCCATGAATTTGTGACAAATTTTACGTTTTAATAATCCTTATACCCCTAAAGGAACTTAAAAAAACTATCAGCTGACTGGATGATTTGGTCCTCGTGACCATTCGCAGGTGTGGATTCGTCGACCGGTGGAGTGGGAGTCAATCGGAAGTGGCCGAGGCAGGCCTAATCTGACTAGGTCGTGTGCCACACGCGTAGGCAACCTGTTAGTAGACCCATTGGCGAACAAAGGTTGCATCCAACGGAGCAGGACGACATTGAAGCGTTCCCAGGGTGCATTTGAAACTTTATGAGGTAGAAGACATTTTTTGCAAAATGATAGCAATTTATTATCATAAAAGAACCAACCGGTGCAGATGCGATGTCAGGAACACAGCCTCGCTGCCTACTTTGGCTACGGCTGCATCGTTGGCATTTTGTGTTACTTAGGTTCCCACTCTACAGTGCACTTCTTCTTCTTTTACCTGTATCTCCTAGGGCTTCCAAGTTATCACGTCAACAGCAATGTTGGCGTGTTTTCGTACTCCAGCATCTTCATCAGCTGTCAACTTTTTTATCTGAAGCGATGGAAGAAAACAATTAGTCATTACCGCTTTTTAGGCCGACGATTTTAATCCAGCTAGACAGTTTACCGAAAGTACAGATAGAAGATATAACTGCTGCAATAACCATGAACAAACATAAATACACCTTTTGATTTTTCAAACTATTGACTCTTACAGTCTTTCAGTTTGAGAATTAAGCTTTTATTTAACATTATATCTCGACATGCAGCAGGCGTCTTTGCTATCGGTTTTTCTTGGCAAAATATATTTAACGATGATAATGGTGGTTGCACGACTGTTTTAAAAACAATCCGTGTAAAAAAGTAACGCGCATATTCTTCTTGCAATCACGTCGACAAGAGTTTTTTTCAAAAAATTAACTCGGACTTTTCTTTAAGATCCAACCTACAGGCCGCATGTTATTTTAAAAAGATGGAGTCGGTTAAGAAGAACGCAAACGTTTAAAGTCATGAAGTGAGTTCGGCGAAACATACATGATCAACATGATCCAGTAGAATACGTCGGCCTTCAGGCGCTTCGGCTATGCATGTGATGGCCTAAACAAAAAGGCAAAAATTAAACATAACAAGAGAAATAACGACGGCAGTAAACACAAGTAAATGTTAGGTACATTATTGTCAATACTATTGAAACATAAACCAAGGCAGTTTTGAGACCAAATACGTCAGGAATAGTCAACAGGTTAGGCGTCAAAACTCTTAATTAATAGGGAGGAGGTTGGCACATTTGAATAATCCATTTGTTCTACTTGTCAAAAGCTCGGTGGCCTCGATGGGATTCGAATCCAGGAGAGCAAGGGTCAGTGGAATTATCCAAATCTTCCAAATACACTATGTACTAAATGTGCCTGGTAGTACTTTAGCGGATTCTAAATTGATTGCCTAGACAACTCTGCTTACTCAGTCCACTTGCTGGTTCCGATTTGGTGGATCCTGTACTTTGGCGTAGGCTGGGCAGGTAGCTTGACTAAATTAGCATTAAAGTCACTGCCCCCGGCAGGGCCTCGTAGCTCAGATGACCAGAGCACTGACTTTACTGCCATGGAGTTGAACTCCAACGAAGCCGCCGACATTTTCACAACTGGGTCAAATATAACCTTACTGCCATAATAAAGAAAAGGAACCGAATAACAAATAATAACCACCGAGACCTAAACTTTTATTCTCCTTATTACAACGCATCATAGGTGGCACCTAAAACAGGTTCAACTATAAAAACAGGAAACATATTTGAGGTCGGATCGATTTGAAAGCCAATCACATTGTGTTGTCATTATTTACGGAGGGTCGCCGCTGTTGGTGTCCAGTGTATAGTTGCAGTCACATGACAAAAAACACGAGACTAAGAGGGAGAGCGCAGAAATTTAGATCCTTCGCTCAGATCTGCTGATCGGAAAGACGAGTCTGCTCTCACGCCAGTAATTTACTGTTTAATTTTGTTCCCAAGTATTTTAATTTTGAGAAGTCAAGTTGGCAAACATATGTTTTAGTTTTCATTCCATTTTTTAAAAAGTAGTCCCTTACCCTTTTGATATAATTTGCTTCCTGTGTACTTTGAGCGTAGGAAGCCATTTACTAGTTCACCCCAGTATGGAGTAGAAGTATCCTAAAAAGCCTCGATGACAGTCTTTTTGCTCGTATCCTTCTGCATCACTAAATTCATCTCTGAAAAGGCCTTATAAGTTCTAAAATACTATAATAAAGTATTGCCTTTCCCGGTTCAACGATATTCTAATTGCTAAACGGCTCTGCCCAGTTCTCGTAGCCAAGCTTAACATAGGAACATTTCAGAACACGGGGTCTGGTATAGGTATTTATGCAGATGAAGGTAGACTGAGAGAGTGCTTCCTCAGGCTTCTTTAGCCTTCCTTGAGCCAGTGACAACAACAATTGTAGGCGAGGTCCAGAAATACGAAAATGCGTACACGTGCGCAGGTTGCCTACAGACGCCTAGTCGGGCGGAAGTTGTTCAGCGCTCTACGTTGCTATAGATTGGCATGCGGCGCACGACCTTCTTTACCGTTTTTATATACATTAATGCTGATTCTCGGTACTTGGTGTCTTTAGAGTATTACTCTGTAAAAGAATATTCTCAGTAACTTATTTTCTGAGCAGCAAATCTGAGGCCTTTTCCGTGGGTTTGGCGCAAATTAACGTGACATATGAAACCATGCCCAGAGTTTGATCATGAAGGACACTTTCACAGTGATTTTAAGTTTGAGACTGAAAGTAAAAATAACTCTAAGGTTTGCGGACGCTGACTGCACTTGCATAAACGTTTCCTAATTGCCCTTATCTTAATACAGGTTAGTAGGGTCAGCCCCCTTGCTATCTTTCCGTGAAAATGAGATTTTAACTTTATCTTAGTAGTGAGAATGACGCTGAATTGTTTAGTGCTTTTGCCAAAACACTGAGCATTTATTTCCATTTGGCACAAATATTTTCCGAATAAGGAACCAGTCTTTGGCTACATTAGCAGCACGCTGCTGGCTATAAAATGAGCCCGTTTGGTATAGTGACGACGGCTTCTGGCACGGATTCCATTATTTGATCATATTTTCAGTACTCTTACCTAAACAGTGCATTATTCTATCTTAAAGATAACAATTTACTTTGCTCCGTGAAACCAGTGAGTGATAAAACCTCGAAGTAAAGGCATAAAACGTGGCTCCACCTGGTCATTTATTTTTTTGTCATTACTACTGAGATATGTATCGGTAGGCGTGTTGGCAATCATGAAAAAGTGTCGTGACTAGCTCGCGACAGTCTGTCGGGCCAAAAACCTTCAAGGCCGACCCAGACAATGACCGCTCATGTTGGCCGCTATGATGCCTGCTGCGAAGCCCGGACATAGGACCTGGCTAGCCTCCTAGCTGGTCATGCGCTCCGAAGTCAAATTTCCTCCTGCTTATTCGCCATTCCTCTGTATACAGAATATACTATTCCCACTATTCTGGCCTCCACCGACTTCTTCTTTCATAAAGAACCATGGTCTGAAGAGTGCAGTTGCTAGGGTTTAACTTACTTCACCCCATGCGATAAAAGCATTTGTAGTAAAACTCGGCGCGACGCTATGGTTGACTCAATGGCCCTGGACCTGTAGTCTGCGTTGAAAAAGGAGGTTTTGAATTACATTATGGGCTGTCGGTGGATGGGGGTGGTTAGAAGTAGCGTTAGGATGAGTGCTAATGTTTCAATAACCGTTGATTAGGCATTCTTTAATTCCATAATTTAACGGTCATTTTAAAAAATATTTAATAACAATAACCATTGTTGATTTCTGCTAAATTTCTGGAAATTGGTCGCTAGCGAGTAGCTAGACATTTCGAAACACAAATGCTACGAACCACCTTTATTCAAATTGCATACTGCTTCTTAACTGAACCACTGCTGCATGTCGACTACCCCTACATTTGCCTATTATTTACGGTTTTCAACTCTTTAAAAGGCTATTCATCATCCTTCCCTTACTAAATTACCCACTGGTTTTGATTTTGTGAGGAGAAGCGTGCCTTAGGCTCCCAAAAACCTCAAAAGGAACGAATGTTCATTGCTTTTACCAACTAGTTAATACAAATACCATTTTATTGTGGGGAAGATCTTTCCGTTTTGCCCTGTACTTCTTTCCCTTGCTGGCTCAGACGCTGAAAAGAAGTGCCAAGACCCTTTACAATACAGCTTCACAAGCTCCTTTCAAACCGTTAAAACTCTCAAAGAGCTTCGTACTTGTAGCCTGATACGATTTCCTCGGAAGCCAATCCTGCGCATCTTCGCAATGCGCAACTCACCTTGAGTCCATTTACGCGTACACGGCTGTGTGAATGCACAAGTAGCCTGATAAGGTTTGGAATGGCGTCCGCATTGATTGCCGTGTAACGTCCATGAGTGGTGACGCTTGTGCTACAAACAAATAGGGGGTACGGTTATCTCCCGCCAGTCAGCCGCACTGCGAAGTTTGTTTAAATTGACTACAAGCAGGCTGCTTACAAGGCGAGCGCGCCAGCTGCCGAGGTCTTCACGTCGGGGTCTTTGTCATTCAGAAGACCGACAAGGGCAGGGATGGTCTCTTTGTCAATGGCTTGTTGTCTGCCCCGGGGGTTTACACTAAAATAATCATGAAAATTAAAAACAATTATAAAGTTGACTGAGTTAAGCGGTACTCACGTTAACATGAGAATAACCTGTGCGCTCTTCCCTCGAACTTCAGGCGAGTGATGGCTGAGGAGCTTGGTGAAGACTTGCATTCCACCAGCATTCAGACCAGCATCACTGTTCAAGTCCAAACATCTGTTCAGGGTGTCCAAAATCACAGCCTATAAAGGTCACTTATGAGTACTGTGGCAATAAGAGGGCTTGCCTTGATTTCCGCGTATTCTCTTTCCACACAGGCTATCAGCAGTGGAATCAGATCTGCGTCTACAATTGCCTGACAATGTGCCGGATTGATAGACAGAAGTTCAACAGCTCTGTGTGCATTCAGGCGAACGATATCAGGCTCGTAGGATGAGAAGAGAAGCTTTAACACATCAAGGACATTCTCGTCAATGAAAGCCTTTCGGCCAATAGCATGTTCTAAAATAGTAAACCGATTACAACTGCCACCTACGGTTAAAGACGATAAAGCATTCTGCAGCCATAGCTCGCACGGGGACATCCTTGTCTCGAAGTAAGTGTTTCAATGATGTAATAATGCCTAGCAAAACGTCAGAATAGGAAAGCTTTGTTGGATTTACCTTCGTGTACGGCGGCTGCAATGTGTTCATGGTCATGGAGGTAGTCACATAAGGTTTTAACAGCTCTTTGTCGAATGAGTAGAAGGTCATCTTTAAGTTCTCGGTTCTTGAGAAGGACAGAAGAGCCTTTGATAACCATAGTCAACGCAACATAAATTATAAAAAAATTGTTAGGCAAAAAACCTTGATTGCATTTTGTTTTGGGATAAAGACCATAGCGGTAGTAACTGCGCTTAGTAGGGGATCTCTCAAACATAAATTTTAAAATACTATATTAACTAAAGATTCAGGTTTCTTATTAACAAACAAAACAATAAATCAGCGATGTTTGTTTCTCACAGCAGAAAGTCCCGATTAATGGTAGATGTGAACAGTGACAGACGATCGGCTATGCGTGAGAACGATCAGCACGCTAATAGGATATATATTTTCTACCAAATAAATATGTGGAATGCACAAGTCTTAATAAAAAAATTATTAATACTGTTCTCACCTAACGCTTTTACAGAGTAAAACGTTTTCCAACACTATACACCACAATCTGGTCACAAATACCTCAGAGCGTTGGTTCACCAATTTAAGATTTGTGGATTTTTAACTTCCGATGGCTTCTTTGGAAAATAGTATTACGCCTCAATTCTCGGCATTTAAAGATTCAGGCTACTACTACTACTCTAATTTACACATGACCATATCACACATGAATTCGACAACTTCTTAATTCTTCGAAACAACCGGGGCCAGCATCGAGCATAGACGTTTCAAGGTTTTGACGTTGTGAATTTCCAAACGCACCAATAGAACCAGTTGAATGCCGAGATATGTCACTAGAAACCGATACAGACACTTGCATTGAACCCCCTCAATTCTAATATTGACGACACCGCTATGAATTTCTACACCCCGCTTGGTACACGATATCACAAAATGTTACTGGTTTCAGCACTATACATTTGGTATTAGGTTTAAGCAGTTAGTTTGGATAAAAATTTGGCAGTTTTGGTTGACTGTCATTAACAGAACTACTACGCCAACCCCAAGCAGCAACTTCAATTTCTGCAAGCCAATGGACTGTATTAACCTTTAACTGACTGTTTTGCGACCCTTTAATGCTTCTTTTGGCAAAACACAGGCTTCATATAAAGGAGGTGCACACAAAGGGCGTATTTTGAGTGTTTACAAGACAGTGCGTAGGTATCGGTGATTATGGAGTCTGATTTTTCTGTTGTAAAGACTATAAGACTGATCTTGAAATAGACGAAAAGAAACGCCATAGCAGACCCGGTTATGGCGCCCTAAATGTCCAGTGTCTGGCTCAAGTCAGCAACGAAGTATTTGATCCAAATAAAAAGATTAACCAACAAAAATTATAACCTGTTCCACTGTAGGTTATGTGTCTTGTCTCCAGTAAAGCTAACAATTTTCATATTAGGCCCTGTAGCATTCCACTTTCTATCTAAAAGGAGGAAGTTCAAAGGACGTTATGAATGCCTGCATTTCACCCAGTTTAAACAGGGCCATTGTGCAAACTTCTCAGAAGGAGGACCACGAATAAACGTGAACGTTTCCCTTCCTTTATCAGAAGCGGGATATATTCGGCTACTAGTTTCAAATGGGATAATGATGATCGGATCCATACACACCATCGGATTGTTTCTGCTAGAGGTTAGTGTAAATATATGTCAAGATAAAAAAGGGAATTGCATCTTTCTATCTTGGAGCAATTCTTATAATTAAAAATCATAGCCAATGGAGAACTCATGTAAAACAATGTTATTTAAGGCATCAGATACCGGTATTTGTAAAACAAAAGTTCAGTGGCATATGTTGAACTGTTTTCAGTTATGCTGCCCGATTTTAAGGCGCTGCAACTGCTTTTGGATGATTGCCTTATTGTTTTCGAAAATCCTGGTAATCCTCATCCGATATGGAGTGTAGTCATTCATTTACGGTAAAGCATATTTGAAGCTCGACAGCGATGCAGGGCTTATTTTAAATATATTATCTCAACACTCAAATTTTTCCGATTGCTATGCAGCCCTGGGAAGTCCTAATCGGATGATATAATATTCAAGGTCAGAAAGCTGCTGGTCAAATAAAACGTTTTAAAATTTATTTGATAGACATGTTATGATGGTTTATAAAAAAACTGCCGAAAACCCCAGTTCAATTATTTAGAATTTGATTGGTTGTTCCTTTGCGTTGTCAGATAGCAAATAAGCCCATTTTACGGTTCATTAACGTGCGATAACTATTTAATATGCACACTGGCAGGTGAACTGATATAACCAAGTGCAAATAAGGTACCCGGATAAATTAAAATATTCACAAAGCGAATCAGCATATATCAAGCGACCTCGAGAACTCTTGCAAAGACCATAAATTGAATGAATGAAGTGTTCGGACGCAGTGATCTCGTCTGAAATACGTCTCGAAGTCAGTGATTAAAAAAATTGCTCGCCGTCGAGTAAACAGCAGTGTTAATCACCGTTCTGTTGAGATAAAGACCTAGTTAAGAGGACATATTTCGATGGGAAGTTAACATTGCTAGGGCTTTTGATCAGCTTTTATAGACTAAGATGGGGAAATCGCAATTCCTTTTGCAGTTTCCGGCCTTGCAGAGCATATTTCAAAATTCTGCTTTAAAAATTTCGAATGAGAATTCCATCACACGGTATCAACTTCCCCTATGGACCGTCTTTGTGGTGGATGGAGGAGTATATAAAACTATCTAAATCAGACTACTGTTGCCGCATTGATCGCGAATCCAGCCAGAGATCACTAAACACTGACAGAATGTGAATACTTCAAATGCAAAGAGGGTGCCGTGATTTTAACTGGCTGATACGTTTAGCATTCAAAAGACAGAAACGGCTTACAAAAAGTACTCTTCAGCTTTCATGCTGTCATAATCATTATAAGATAAATGGTGACTGCGTAAGACATTTTTATTTAAACCACCATGATTAAGAAATGAAAGCCAACAGCCAGCTCAAGGCAGGCGCAATGTGTAAAGTTCAAACATCAGTGTTTACTTATTTGGTGGGGAAAGGTAAATAATTTCAGCATGTAAATCGAGAACAATAGGAAAAGAGCACAATACTCCCTCTATCATGCCTTTATCTGCATTCTTTTAATGACGCAGTGTCTGGTACTTCCTGATAGCCTGTGAGTTCAGCAAATTATGTATGACTTAACCCACGCTTCCCGATGGTGCAGCTTTAAGCTTTGGCTGTACTGAAGCCTCCCCGTGCGGTTGTAGGCCCAACTTCATCCGAGACCGCAAAGGTCTTTACAATTTGGATTAAGGGTCTAATATTATTTTATAGCGCCAAATCTTGTAATTCAATGGATTCATCGCATGCACGATTAAATATAATAGCAGCTCTTTCCGGTATTTACCATTTAACAATAAAATCAATGAAAGAGCAAGTGTACTCTTGGAATACCTCAGGTGGGAAGTTAGTATCAAACCAGCTACAGCAAATAAAAAATTAAGTTTCCTCTTCGTGTTGCAAGTTGAGCCTGGGACTGAAAATTCTATTTCCTAGTATCAGCTGTTATTTTTCTAGTTATATTACGATTTCTATAAATTCTCGTTTGATACTGCTTAATTTGTCTATTCTTGATACACACAAAAGAATCAATTGATTGCTACCCACCACCATCATAAAAAGAATGACATCATTGTTGATTATACGCAAGATCGGAAACATGATAGGATACAGACTCTCAAAGTGTGGCAATCCAAAGAGTAAAGGCATTATTAAGAGAGAGAGAGAGAGAGAGAGAGAGAGAGAG